CATTCCTTAGCTGCTCTTGCACCTGGCTGCTGTCTCCCCCGGAGTCTGCATGACCCCAGGTCACAACAGCCCCAGATGCAAGAACGGCGGCAAAAGCGCCACAGTTTGCCTGGATGTGTTGGACGTTTCTCAGCTGCTCTTGCACCTGGCTACTGTCTCCGCCGTAAACTGGATCACCCCACGTCACAACAGCCCCATAATCAAGAATGGCCGCAAAAGCACCCACAGTTGCTTGGATGTGGCGGACATTCCTCAACTGCTCTTGCACCTGGCTGCTATCTCCGCCTGATTCTGCACGACCCCAGGTCACTACAGCCCCAGATTCAAGAATGGCAGCAAAAGCACCCTCAGTTGCTTGGATGTGCTGGACCTTCCGCAGCTGTGCTTGCACCTCGCTGCTGTTGCCCGCTTGTGAACGACCCCAGGTCACTACAGCCCCAGATTCAAGAATGGCGGCAAAAGCATACTTAATCGCTTGGATTTGCTGGACGTTTCTGAGCTGCTCTTGCACCTGGCTGCTGTCTCCGCCCCATTCTGGATCACCCCAGGTCACAACGGCCCCAGCTTCAAGAACGGCAGCAAACGCATACTTTGTTGCTTGGATTTGCTGGACATTCCTTAGCTGCTCTTGCACCTGGCTGCTGTCTCCACCGAAGTCTGGATCACCCCAGGTCACAACAGCCCCAGATTCAAGGATGGCTGCAAAAGCACTGCCAGTTGCTTGGATATGCTGGACGTTCCGCAGCTGTTCTTGCACCTCGCTGCTGTCTCCGCCGCGCTGTGCGCGACCCCAGGTCACAACAGCACCGGATTCAAGAATGGCGGCAAAAGCACCACCGAGATTTGCTTGGATGTGCTGGACGTTTCGCAGCTGCTTTTGAACCTGGCTGCTGTCTCCGCCGTATTTTGGATGGCCCCAGGTCACAACCTCGTCGCCGTGCCCATGAAAAGCAAACGCCTGATCAGTGGCAGCCAGTTTGCCAAGGTACACAACCGCAGCCACCACGTCCCCATCTCGCAACCCGGCCTCACTCAGCGTGGCCGTCATATTGAGCTGCCGGCCTTTTGCAGTGAGCTTCAAGCACCGCTGGAAATGCTGCTGCGCTGCAGCCTTCAGCTGTCTGATGAGCGTCTCCGGTGAGACTTCTATGGAGCAACCATCTCCGCTGGGCAAGTGAACATGCACCTTCATGGCGCGGAAAATAATTCTGTGTGCATTCGAGTTGCCAGACACGTTTGAGACACACTAACCCAAACACATGCCAGGGCACAAAGGAAGATCGTTGAACCGTTGCCAGCTTTACCGGAATCACAACGTGCTACTAAAATGAGAATTCGGGAGCTTGGGCGGACAGGCTCGCAGCAGGATGGATTCATCGTGACTCTAAACATGGCCGTTTTTGGGATCCCCTTCTGTTTGTCCTTGACGTTTGTAGGTCAGTCGACCTGATGTTTTTCTGTGTGCGGGGCGTACAACATGACCAAATTGATCAGTTCGAGCATTGACAAGCCATTCGGGAGAGGCATGGCAGTTTGAACATTACTGCCCTAGCTTGGAACAGAAGAAACCGCAGAAAGACTCGTTGATGGCTTTTAGCGGAACCTGGCTAGGGTTTCATGCTAGATTTGGATGAAGGTTAGGCTTTCCGAGCGCGGTGGCAGTCCCGCGGCTTTGGGTGACTCCATACCATGGCGTTGTTGTACAGCGGGGTCCCTCAATCAACCAAAAGAAGCGTCTCCTTTTTTTCCATGGACAATGGGTACCGACTGGATAAAGTGTGTTGCTTTTGACTTGTTTACCCCTGGGGGGTAAATAATGGTAAATACCACGGTTTGAAACTGCTTGTGGTGCAAACTGTTTTAAACTCGTACATCCGGGCCTTGTGCCACAAAAAAAGCTATTCATATCAAGGTTGTGCGTATTGCTTCTTCCCCATGCTTCCCCGTTTGCTTGGCACGGAATGACTGCAACAGAGATTAGCACCCACTTCATCTGAGTTCCGCGACCGCCTGTGGCGATCGTGACGACTGCAATTTTCCAAGTGCGGCGGCAACCAAAGGATCCCAAACTTGTCGTTTCCCACTTCCATGGGGGTATGAAGCGAAACAGCGGAAGCCCAGCCTCAGGCAGACTTTGCCGCCATAGGCCTCCCGCTGCGGCGCTGAATAAACGATCAAAATGAAAACAGGTACTTCAGGAATCTGTCTTTTCTGGAATCCGACCAAGCCACGCATTCCAGGAATCAGTTGTGGTTTTTCAAAGCATGGCCCAAGACCCAGTTCAACTGGCTTCTGTAAAGACCGATGGCGGAAAGAAATGAAAACCAAACCTCAAGAAGCATCAAGAACAGCATGACTGCTAAGACGCCTGGGTGTGTGTGTGTGTGTTCTACATACATTATCCGGGTTTACTGCGAGTCAGGCTTTGATTATGTTAGACCCCCAATTGGAATTGGGTCCTCCATTGTAGCAAGGTGTTGTCCTAATTCAGAATCCTGTGACTGTTTTGGGGTCCTCTATTGTGGCAAGTTGTTTGCCGGAAAACATGCCCGAAGCAAATCCAGACAAACAAGACTGGCCAAACAAATCAAGCAAAACAACGGGCAAACAAACCCGGGCAAACAAGAGGAAATCCTTTTTTTTTGGAGTGGTCACCAAACCATCAAACTTAAGATAACCTCTTATTTGAAAATAAAAGGTACGGGCAAGCATTTACACAAAGGGGGTGCCCACAAGAGGCCCTGATCCTCTTTAGTGCGACTGTTTGGGGTCTTTGGTGTCCAACTTTTTGTTGGGTGCTGAAATGCCTAACTTTAAAGCCTTAGCCTTTTACTTTTCAAGGATGGCTCACCTAACCAAATTCTTCCCAGCTCAAAGTGTAAAGGCCTTGGATCTAGGAAATCCATTCTGCAACTGGTCCCCCAAACCATCAAATTTAAGATAACTTCCAAACACAAAAAGTGCGGGCAAACACTCGCAGGGGGTTGCCCGAGGCCCTGATCCTCTTTAATACGACTGTGTTGGAGTCCCCTTCAGTGTCCAATTTGTTTGCGGGTTGCTGAGAAAAAAACGGGCCCTTCCCAGCTAAATTAGAATTGGCAAATTAGAATTGGCAATGCCTATAGTACTAGCAAGTCCCACCCAGACCCCAGCATTTTCGCTAAAGAGGGGGAACCACAAAGAGGGTCGAACATTATTATTATCTTTTGGTATTTGCGGATTTGCGGCCAGCTAGCGGCTGCACGTAACGACACTGCGTAACTTGGAAGACTCTAGCCTCTTGGTTTGGGAAATCAATCGTGCCGAAATGGTTTCCTCTTGGGGAGATTCAGTAAATTCATAATTAGCGATTTAGCACTCTGCAAGGAACACATGAGTGTGCACCTGTTGGGTGCCTGGATGTTGGTCTCCAGGTCATAGAGAAATCTCATGGCTTCGCGTTTCTTCTCTGAGCGCCTCAGTGGTGAAGGCCTGAATTTGCGCTAAACTCATCCTGCCCCTACCACCAAACAACACCCTATAACCCCTGCAATGCTGGTCTATTTTGGTCTTTTCGTCTTCCCAAGGGGTAGTGTTTTTGAAATATTGATATTGAGCCGCACCATATGCAAGCCCTGGCAAGTAAGGTCGATGGGCGAGAAAAAAACGGTCGGAACTGAGTGGAACTTGGTAGCAGTGCCGCCTGCAGCGGAAGTTTGCAGTCATTTCAGCCAGGACATGTGAACCACCTGGGTATCATATATATATATATGTATTTGCATGTAGGATTCTTGGACCAGTCAGGAAGCCCAAGCACCTTCAGTGCGGTTGAGCTGGTTTCAAGGTGCGCCTGTTATATTTGCCCAGAACCTTTGATGCTGTTCGAGCTAGGAGCTTTGATGCATCATGAATGTTTAGGTGAACCCTGCACCACGAGCGATCATCACATCTGAGGCGGAATTCCACTTCGATCACTGCTGGCCCAATGTTCGCTTGTGAAAATTAGTACTGGCCCGTTCTGATGGCAAACAAATGCTACGTTGTGTTTCATGCGGCTGCAGCCGTTTGAACTAATTCACAGCTTGGAGGCTTGCAAAACCCTTAAAACTGCAGGACAGGGACCTTCATTGGTCTCGTTTACCCTTTTCCGGGCTGCTGAATTAGACAACATCTGCAAACAGAATTGCTCGGAATTGCTGCAATTCTTTCCGGAATCAGCCTTTGCTGCCAGGTCTCCCGCGTTTGCTTTTCGGACTGAGGGGTCTTGCTTCGCTTCATTTCTTCCCCAAACCTGGGGCCTTGCCCCCTACTAGTTAAAGTTGAGTTTCTTCTCCGCCTTGGGTTAAGTATTGCCCCAGGATTCCCTTGCTTTCTCACTCTAAAGGGGTGTTCCCGTTGCTGTCGCATCCCACAAACGGGGTGCTCCCGAGACCCGCCAAGAGTGGAATGTTAGCTGGACAAGGAGAATGTGGTTTCGCGGTTTCACGGTTTAGCCATATTCCTCAGGGGTCTTCAAAAACTCCTGCAGAAACCGTGCCGTTTTTCTCATGCAGCTAAGAGGTGGGGATCACCTGGGCCCCCCTGAAATCTGCCTCTGTCTGTGTGCCTTTCCCTTCGCACCCTTTTGGAGTTCCCAAAAGTCGTGGGTCAAAAGGCCTCTAACAAAAAAACAGCACCCGTCACTCAGCTCCGTACTTCTTGAAGAGGCCCAGGAGAAAATGCTCTGCCTTGCCCGCGCACCGCTCCCAGCTGAGTGAGGTTCGACTGAATCTGTTTCCGGTCTCAGGCATGTCCTGAAATTGAAAACTGTTCATTTGGACGTTGGGGCAGAAACTGCACAGGAACCCATTGTTTGGAGCCAATAATTCTCAACGTCCGCTAGTTTTGGAAATGAACCATTTCTTCCTGAGCTTTCAAAGGAATGGCATGGCTGCCACACAAGCAAAGGTGCGACACGAAAAGCAAACTGGCCGAGAACCACCTTTCACAGAGAGTCGAGAATTGCCCTTCCACTTCTGTGACCACTGGGCGGCTTTCCCATCATACCAAACTGAATGCATTCGCATGGAATCAAAAGGTAAATCAACCGTTCGGAAACTTGACTAAGACTAGGTGAATCAAAAGGCAAATTCGGGTCGTGGGCCCATAACGGACACGGGAAAATGAGTGAGTCCCCTGGCTCGAGCCTCCGGCGCGATCGGCTCCCTCCCAAGCGCTGAGCTTCCGGCATTGGCGGCAGGCTCCCATGCCATAAGGCGACGCGGCTCCCCGCCTCTTCCAGACTCCAAACCCCAACTGAGGCAAGTGGTTTGTCAACAAACATTACAGATTGCTCATGTTCAGCTATGCTAGCATAGTGCTCGCAAACAGGAAGTAAGGTCGGAAACGAGAAGGGTTGCGTCGAATCCTCACGTTGCCTGTGATTTGGTTGGCCCTTCTCCCCCTGCCCCGCCGCACGTGTTGGCGAGCGGCGTTCTCTTACTTAATTACAGCGAAGGGTCACATGGGCGTGATGCACATGCTTCGCCGAGGTCGTTTCAAGCTGCAGAGTGGCTAACCCGAGAAAAATACTTCAAGCGGCAGTGTGCCTAACCCATCCACAATCACCCCTTCCTTCCGTCCCAGATAAGCCCAGCCCCCACCCGACAGGGGGCGCTCCCGTGGCTGCTTGACTTTGGCTTCTCCCGTCTAGCCCTCCCTATCCAAAGGAAGCCCGAGGAACCCTACTTTTTCCAATCCATTTTGCCTTGATTCCGCCCAAACAACCAGTTGAGGTTGCGGGTCCATACAGGTAAGCATGGATGGAATTCCGCAGCGAAATTGCGACTGTTTTCTCCGGCGCTGCCCGTAATTCGCAGCTCTGGCCAGCCCCTGCTCCGCAGTGGGCAAAAAGAAAAAAACGGACCTAGGATTAGTGTCGCCACGTCGTGCTCCAGTTGCCAATGTGTGCAAAACATGACAAAACTACCAAGTTGTTGTTTGCATCTGGTCAACTCCTTCACTACATGGATTGCATGTCTTTGCCTCTTAATGTGGAGACCACATAAATTGGTGTTGCCTTGTGTACACAGCCTCAAAAAAAAGCATAGCTGGATGGAACCTGACCATGGTTGCCTCGGGAATCTGTTCGGTCTCCTCGGGTCTTAGCTGTCCTGCGCATCCAACCACGAAAGCAGTAGAGAAGGGTCTGTCATTCTGGGGGCACACCTTCATTGGAATGGCGCTACTTAGGGTCTGGGGATTGTTCAATCTCCCCTTGTCTTCAGCGAACCTCGAGCCACCATTGGCATATGGGCGGCATCCTGCTGTAACTCCCCTCAGGGGAGTCACACAAAGGCTAAGCCTCAATTATATGGACGTCCAGAGCGCCGAAACCTCCGTCGGAAGCGAAGAATCAAAACAGAAAACAAAGGACTGCGGTGGGTAACTTCCAATTCTGGAGAACATGGATGCGCGGAATCGGAACCAACACAACAAAAACAACATGTTGGCTCATGCCACCTTTCCCACGTCAACTCTGATGGATAAGATTCGCACGTCGAGAAGCGTTGCATGTACGCACCTTCACGAGGATTCGGCAGATGCCCGGTGGAAAGCAAGGAAAGACGGAGCCTCTTGCAGTCCTGGTGCGAGAGAACGCGCTCGGCACCTGGACATTTGCATCTTATAAGCGCCTGGCTGAGAAAGGGTCTGCAATCTACTCCTGTTCACTGAAGCATTGGGTGTTGAATAGAGGGCCTGGGGTCAACACAGTGATCCCCTTGTGGTTTCTTTGTAGGGCAAACCAAGCACGGGCTACTTAGCAAACGGATGGCTACACTGGTCATGTGGACATGAAAGTACTTCGAAAATTGGTCCGAATCCTTGGCAACTCTAAGCTTAAGCTGGTTGGGTCCTGCTTTTCGGCAGTATTGTTACACCTTTGGGATGGAGTACCCTGCCCACTTCTGGGTAGTGCTCAGCGTTGCTAACGCCGAGCTGAGGAAATAAATGTACCACGCCCAACACCCCGTGGGCCTTGGTTTATCAAGATAGTTGAAAAGGCGCAGAAGGCTCTCACAGTAATTCACAAGGCTAGAGGGTGCCAACACGGCCGTTTTCTGCCCAACTGACGCCAGGATGTTCTTTTAATAATGTGGCTTGGCCCAACCTGCCGCTTTCGCACAATAACCATACTATAGCTATGCTACATTTTAAGACATCGTCTGACGTTCGGATGGAAAATCATGATTCGGCCTTGCGAGAACCCACCGCCAGCACCTGGAATCCAGGCCACCCTGGATCTTCCTCGACTTGGACTAGCTGGGAGCAACCCCGCTCAATGTTTGTAAGTTCTATCATTAGCTCAGCTGCCTCAGCCTGGCAGGCGCTGGACGCTTTTCATCCAGCGCAGATGCGCACCGCGAATTTGAGCAAGAATCCGAGCGACCAAGTTGCTGCTGTGACTCTGACAAAGGCTAGAAGCAACACACACACACACAAAGAATAGCAGAACAATGGGTGACAGGAAATGGGAACCGACCCATAGACCTACAAAGGCTTAGACAAGACTGTGGCCTCAATTGAATCATTTCGTGGGTCATGGTACAGCAGCCCATGTCCAAGTGCAGGCTCTGTGTCTGCCATTGCCTCCTAAAACATGACACAACCAATACAATCAACTGGATGGGAGATCCCCAATCCTAAGATGCAGTGAGACTGCAATATATAATGTTGTGGTGGCATAAGGATTTTGTCTGTTAAACAACCCGGTCAACTAAACGAGATCTCGCATGGACTGCTCAGAGAAAAACAAACCGCTCGATTCTCGCCTGGCTTTGTCTCGTCTCTCTCACCTTGCAGTGAGAGAGCCCTTCTTGGTCTGGCATGACGGCTGTCGACTTCCAACGTCTCCCTTTTGGGACCGGGTGACAAGCAAACCGAAAGGAATCAACCACTTGCGGGTCCAGACTCTACGTGCGGAAGAAAACATACCTGGATCTCCCATTGTAACACACAAACATGTATTGCGTAAAGTTTGTGGTCGAGCCATCCTTTTCTTCGGGATGCTTCGAAAAGCGAGCGGTGTCTGAAAAACAGCGTGTTTTGTTTTGCAATCTGCCCGGAGGAAGAAGAGCAATTGCTACGTTGCAAAAACTCCTTACACAAAACAGTCCGCTCGCTTGCGGATATTTGCGCTCGTTTTGGGATATGTGCGCTCGTGTTGCACTTTTTTTTCTGCGCACTCCTTTCAGCGACGGATCATCTTGGAGGACCGATCAGCTCGGTTTTGGGAAAACCGTTCGAAGCAGGAAAAAGTGTTCGTTTACAATATTTCGGTGACGGCCTTGGCTTTGCACTTCGTTTGGTCTCAGGGCAGAAATTTGGATACTGAAGAACGCTCCAGGTATTTTGGGTTTGGAACCCAACCGCTGTGTTGGGCGCGCTAAATCCCATTTAGGAAACCAATACTTTTGCAGAGTTCAAATGCTCCCTTAGGAAGCCAACTATTTTGGGCGGTCCACACCCCACGTGAGGGAGTCACTCATACGGCATTGGGCTTGCCGACATAGTGGCATCATTGCCGCAATCATCCAAGTATCTCCGTGAATGACAACTTGGTGGCTTCTGATTCTGCCTCCCGTGCAACACTTCAGAAAGCATAACCCCCCCCTTGAGACATGCTATAACAGTGCTATTGGAGTGTTATAGTACTGTTAAAGTATTTGGCTCCCAAAAGGTTCCCCGCGACAAGCGCTGGAAAATGACACCCACCACTACGCTCATGCTCGTCCCCCTCGCACCCCTTCCTTCCCCGTCCCCCTGCCCTTCCCGTCCGCTCCCCCGAAGCTTCAGAAGTCCGTAAGTCTTCCGCAAGGCTTCCGAAAGCTTCCCCAAGGCTTCCGGAAGCTTCCCACCTATTTGGCCCAAAGAAAGGGGGGGGTAAGGGGGGGGGGGGTTGAGGCTTCTGAAAACACGTTGGTTTGCGGGACAGCACACATACTCCAGAAAAGTCGAACGAAGCAGCAAGATCCCACCAACTAGCAGCCAACATGGAGGTCGCAAATCAAAGTCTTTGCAACATCACGATTTTAAGTGTCGCAAATGAGAAACACCAAACAAAGAATACTGGTCCGTATCTTGCAACACCTTCCCGCCTTACCAAGTCTTGAAGGAAAGCGAGCCAGAAGTTGGATTCCAGAAGCGCCCTCCGATCTTGAAATGCAAGTACCAAAAGCTCTTCGAATAAAGCCAAAGCCCAAGGGTCAAATATGCTCAGGTCCTTTGGAACCGTCTGCAGCCCTTTCAAACATCGTGCTCTACCCCGATGTGCTGGAGTCTCCTCCAAAACTAGCTTTTGGGGTAGATGTTCTATGAAACAGAACCTGAACACAAATACTTGCGCTTGTGTAGCCCAGATGTGGGCCAAAACAAGGCCTTCAGTGGCCTTGTTCACAAGCACTCCATCTCAAGTAATGTTGACCCCGGATTAATAAACCCCTGTTTATTAATATGGGGGTGTCCCCGGTTTTAGTGGGGATTTATCACTCTTGGAGGGGAACACCCCCATATTAATAGACAGGGGTTTATCAATCCGGGGTCAACAGTACCCCAAGAAAATAGGCCTCTTAAGCAAACAAAGGCATGCCCGAGCCTTTCGGCGGGGCTTGGACTCGTCTTCCGGCAGGTAGGCGAGCAACAGAATCGGTCGCTTGGCCTCATGAGAGAGCCTATGCTTACCCGGCCGGTACGACCAAAATGCTTCTGTGTGTGTGTGTGTGTCTGTGTGTTTGCCTTCCCTTGGAGGAATCCATAACGAAATACTTACCTGGGCCCAGCTGTTCGGTGACGGAAAAGTATTTCAATTGGTGCCCACAACCCAAACATGTCCCTTTCCGCAAAGGTAACTGGCCGGCTAAGTGGGGCCCGCTAGCATAGATGCAAACACTAGAGCATATGTGGCGTGAAAATGCGTTGCACGCATGAGCCAAATGGATATGCCACGCTACATGCATTTGCCAAAGGATTCTGCTGAGACAGTTGCTTGCTTTGAGTCAACCGTCAACATTCCTAGGGCGCGGGCACTTCGGTTCCCCCCCCCGCCCTCCCCCTCGCAGAAAATTGGAGGCTACAAAAAGAGCTATGTAGTGGCTAGTTGTTGTATATCCCACAAACCCTGGGGGTATGGGTTTTGGGGGCAGTGGCTTGGGGTAATGGACAATATCTTAACTAACAGGATCCTAGCTACTCGTGCACTGCCGCATGGAGGCTGCACAGGGCCAACGCCACACCTAAGCTCCACATGCCAAA